CCCTAACCCTAACCCTAACCCTTGTTGCTATACTGCCTAACCTTCTTCTTGCTTTAGCTCTTAAACGTACACTCTTAATATTACAACCTATCTACAACTAGAATAATAGGCTATAGTGCTGAATTCTTGTCTAGCAATAGGACAATAACATAGTTATATACAATTAGGAACTCTTATATATATTCTTTAAACTGCTTTTGTAATTTAATGTTAGTCTTATATTAGTCCTATAAATGTTAGACAGCGGCGCTTAGGGTTACTGTGTATTTGTACTGTAAACAAATTAACACATTAAAATCCACGTTTAACGCAACTAAATGGCTTAATGCTTTAGGGATAGGTTAGGCTATAGTCCTACTACGTTGTGTGTGATTTTTAAATGAATTGGACGTCTGTGTAGGCTGTTTTTGTAGGCTTGGGGTTAACGGAACCACACTGTAATTCTGTTGTGGTCCTGTACAGTCCGCACCTTATTTTCACTATACAAAATAAACGGAATCACGCCGTAGTTCCAGATAACTACGAGTTAGGTAGCGCGACTTTTTTTTAAAGACATTTAAGTAAAAATTAACACGCTAAGTGTCCCTATATGCCACGTCTTTAGCATCCTTAGATGTTCTAGCTGAATCTAGTGGGTTTGTTATAATATCCTTAAGAGATTATTTGTTCTAGTTGTACAATCGGCATAAAAACAGCCTGCGACGACGTTAGGAGCAGGCAAGTATAACATGGGATATATGCCTGCCTATCGTCGAGTTAGATGAAAGGCGAGGAGCTCGTACGAGCCTTGCTAACTAGAATATACAAGTCCATAACATCATTCAAAGCTTAAATTCGCTGACACTATCACGCGGTAAACACCCTCCTCAAAGGTAGTTTACATATTTTCCTCCTTCTTAGCTAAATCCCTCATCTGCATGATCGTAGTCGTCACCTCTATTCCAGGACTCTGCTTCCGGTTTCCCCTCTCCATATCCAAGAGCTCATCATCACTGCCCTTATCAGCACCATACGCTCTGCCCAAGGGGTATTGGCGGTCGCCTACGGATGACTCCGAGGGCGCGCGAGCATAGCAATCGGCGCGGGAAAGACCGGGCTCGGTGATCTTAGTGGAGGTGTTGTGAGTTGGGCGAGAGAGACCACGGGAACGGGAGTAGGATTTCAACTGGAGGTTGAAGAGAGAGAACCAGTTTTGGAAAAGAGGTTTGAGACCTGGTTGGTATGTTAGCTTCGCTCGCTGAATGATATGTAATGAGGCTTACCAGGTATCGAGAGCGCGATGATGGTAGAGCCAACTTCAGCGCATTCAATAACCAGTTGAGGACCGTAGACCCAGCTAGTGTCGACGAATACACCGTTGCTTTGGATAACGATCCAGAGGCGGAAGATGGAAATAATAATGACTCTACATGTTTCATTAGCGTCTCGTCTTTGTGGGAAGGGCGGCAGGTAGCTTACAAGACACCCGGGAGTAGAACTGCCGAGAGTGCGAGCTTCGTTCTTGTGGTTGCCTTGAGCTTGAGAATGATGATAATAGGAATGACGAAGAGGATCAGATCACTCAGGATGGAAATGCTGGAGTTGGTAGCGTAGAGGATGACCCATGGCAGGCACTTGTAATCGTTGACGTTTGATTGAAAGTAGTTGGGCCACAGTGCAGTCACTGGTTTGCAATGGAAGACAATGAGGAAGATCTGAGGAATATAGCCAGCGACGAGGAACACGGCAGAACATCGGACTGTCCATATCAGACTGCCACTGCGACCGCACAGGCGATGATAGAACGTCAGACCCGACATTCGACATACGAAGAGGGCCGTTGCATAGACCAAATGAGCCCAAAAGTCCAAGATTTGGGCGAGATCGAGTTGTGAGTTCGTCACGATGTATTGGACGTACTCGTTATGCCGAGCTGCACCGGTGTTGATGATGCCTATACATAATCCCGAAAAGGTAATGTAGCATAGCTAGTGGGAGTTAGATGTAAATCAATAGTACTCGAGGTTGAACGATCTAGGAAGATTGACATACTAGCGAGAGACCGGCCAGCCAGTCATCAAGCGCGAAGCTTTTGATCACGAATAACCGTCCGTATGCACGCAGTAGATATATCAGACCGGCGAACACCACCAGAAAGATGATCCCTCCATTTGTGACATGATTCTGCGACTCTGCAAGGTATTCCGGTGTTACATAGTCTGGAATTCCAGTGGCATTGGTCTTAAAAGCCTCCACGATCTCCCAAGGGATGTCTGAACCTGAACGTCTCACCAGAATATCCATCTGGAACTTCTAGGGTTATCGTGGGAAGTCAGATTTCGATACACGTGGGCGACCAGTGTGAGAGGAATGAAGGAGGTGAAGAGGAAGGAGTGGTTGGCAATAATATAAGGGTACCCATAATATAATCCCGACGAATGCTTGGTCAACATTAAGCTTCGTTCAAAGGAAGATCCATCTATCAACCGACTCCTAGGTTGTGTTTCTGATCCTCAGGGGCTAGGTAGCGGCATTAATGTGATACGCAGGGGAATGAATTCTCACGCCATACAGCGAACAAGGAGCCATCTAACAAGTAAATGGGGGTAGTACGCAGACATACGCTTTGTCCCCGTCCGAATACTACCTAGATCCGGCCCTGGACTCGATCCGGCCTATCTCCTATTCCTCCACGGACCTAGGCTTCTGGAACACCTGATGTTTAACATCTTATGTTGATAACTAGGTCATCCCGACTCAAAATTGTCCGAGTTGATTGACAGTAATTCTCATGTACCTGCATTAATCGCCTGCTATATCACGGGCAAGATCCCTTCCCCTTTTTCTCGAGAAAAATCACAAGTAGTAGGTAAGCATCTAGGTACCTGCCCTTTTCGTTAACCCGCAATTTCCAATATAGAAGTATTGTTCGCTAACTAGAGTCTGTGTGGGGAGGATTTTATCGTACTGGCACCTTTAGTTCCAATATTTCCCAATTTTCTTCCGTGCCTTCCACGTTCCCTCAGTGGAGCTGTCCGGAAGGTACGGAGGGGGATAACGAGGGTTCTTATCGAGTCTTGGGCATTTGCTTTGTTTATACGAGGAGATTACTACCTCGCCTTATTAATACCATAGGCATATCATAGCTGCCGCCCCTTCCTGCATTGCAGTAATCTCCCGCCCGGGCGAACTAACCGGCTGTGGTAACACCTGCCTAAGGCGGCCGTAGCCGCCGTGGCGAGCTCCACCACTCGATAGTGGATTCCAAAGGCGGAGAAAGGACTGAAGCAAGGGTCATGGTTTGGTTACTATGAAGTAATAGCTCCCTAGACAACCCAATTCGGTACTTCATGTTGTTGTTTTTAAGTCTGGTGATGCCCATATTTTCTAGCTGATCTAGATTCTCACGAGGTTGACGGGGTGGTATATCATAAGACTGAAGCTCACGTCGGGACGATAGCATTTTCCAGCTGTTTTGGTTTTTGTTGTTTACTTTACAAAATGCATTTCCTCGGCGCGGCTGTGAGCGCGGTTCTTGCCGTTCGTGGAGTCGTTGCTCTGGCAGTGGCCAATACTACTGCAACCAACAGTGCCATCGCAGACGACACGACTGCTAATACCAGTTCTGATGGCTTGGTGGCTTCCTCAACAGCTTCGTATGGTATCAAACCAAAGGTCGTGATAATCAGCCATGTAAGTAAAACCTTGTGTGCTTGGCAATTAGCTTGCTGACAGACCCTCAGTTTGGGCTGGAGGCATCCGTTTGGTATGGCATCAAAGACTTCGATGTCCTTGCGCGCAACATAACAGTGCCTGGATTTTCACCGAGATACCCTCAGGCGCATTGCACTCTGAATGGCGAAATTTGCCAAGTTACAACGGGTGAAGCGGGTACGATTCGAAAGGTGCCTCGGCTCATTCGCTTTGCTTACTCTTTTTAGAGATCAACGCTGCTTCAACGATATCGGCTCTTGCCCTCAGTCCCTTGTTCGACCTGACCACCTCATACTTCCTCGTCGCTGGTATTGCCGGTATAAACCCCCAACGAGGCTCCACCGGCTCCGTAGGATTTGCGCGCTTTGCCGTCCAAGTTGCCCAACAATACGAATTCGACATCCGCGATCTAGGAGATAACTTCACCACCGGCTACATTCCGTACGGAACGCAAGTCCCAGCTCCCGCACAATACCCCACCAATGTATACGGCACCGAAGTCTTCGAAGTCAATGCTTCCCTTCAAAAACTAGCCATTGCATTGGCATCCAAAGCTAAACTCTCTGACGACCCAGCCGCTGCAGCGTATCGTCAGAAATATCAATTCGCCGCTGCCAAGAAGGCTCCTTCAGTTCTCGCATGCGATGTCAGCACATCTGACAACTACTTCCATGGCAAGATCCTCGGAGATGCGGCGGCGAACTTCACTACCTTGATGACTGATGGCAAAGGCGTATACTGCACCACAGCTCAAGAAGACAACGCCACCCTCGGTGCTCTCCTCCGCGCCGCCAAGGCAAAGAAAGTCGATTTCAAGCGCGCGATCGTTATGCGGACAGGTGCTGCGTTCGACCGGCCGCCACCAGGAGAAAGTGCATTCCAGCATCTATTCTACACGGACGTAGACGGGTTCGGACCCAGCGTGGACAACATCTACCTCGCTGGGATCCAGGTCGTCAAGGGAATCTTGCGCGACTGGGCACCGACGTACAAGGCTGGAGTCCAGCCGACGAACTATGTCGGAGATATCTTTGGAAGTCTAGGCGGCGTGCCAGATTTTGGACCCTATCCTAACTTTGGAGAGGCATGAGGAGCTGCATAGAGGGCATGAAGAACTTGATGCATGAACCGCATATACTAGATATACACAGTATACATTAATAGTAATACATAGTAGCTACATTTGGCAGCAGCTAAAACCCGTCGTGCAAATTTCTGAGTTAAGTGAAGACGGGCCCCATCTGCTATCACTTATGCCCTAAGGCGTCAATATATGCCAGTTCAGCGCTAGCTGTTATATTCTAACCTCTACTACCCAACTCCATACTAAGCTCTACCTGAACCTAGACAGCCCTCTACCTTTTAGTCTAAAGTTAAGGAAATTTTCGGCTATTACATTTACTGCGAGAGCCTCGAGGGACCAATTCGGGCCTTACTTTGAGTTGTTAGCCTCGCCTGTTGCAAGCACGTTACTAGTCTCCATCGCTACATAAAGATCACGATCGTAGATGCGTACCTCGAACTCACAGCAAGGTTAAGTGTAGAAATTTTACAAGAGACGCTTCTGGTCTTGAGAATAAAGTCTTGAGAGAAATTTCTTGAGAGATCATGAGTCATGTGAAAAATCGATTAAGAGAGCACGGTTCTCAAGATATTTCTCGTAAGAGCCACGCTCTCCTAAGAGATATAATATCTCAAAAATCTTATCTTAAGACCTGTGATTTCTTCAGAGATTTCTCTTAAGACTTTTCTCTTCAGATTTTATAGCTCTTATGAGAATACGGCTCTTAAGACAATTATCTTGCGACTATCATCCAGTCTATGGTACGATATTAAGGAGGGCCGCTACAGCAACGAGCTAAGCACGTCGATAGAGCCAGCACCCCACTCCCCGGCCCCGCTTCTCGATGGCAATGATGGATAGACAGATGACAGTATGGCTAAATTGGAGAAAGTCATAGAGCTAGCTTTAGTAAAGCAAGTGAATTCATCGTCGGCCAGTACACCAAGCTTTCCACGCCCACACGCGGTCGACGCATCGTAGGAAAATATCGAGACTCGACAACGCAGCGAAACCAGTGGTAGCAGAATAGAAGGGCTACGAGACGCTTCTTGATATGGCAATCCAGCGCCAAGCGTCTAGGAGTAGAAGCAACTGGACACTTAAGTGGTAGAGTAAACACAAGCGGGGCGGGAACTACAGAAGGAAGGGTTAGTAGGAGAAGGGGGGTAAGTGGAGATGCGGCAGCAGGAAGATATTTAAGGTGAGTTACTACTTAAAGAGACTTATAGCTCGAAAGAACTTATAGGATATAGAATAGAAGATAATTACCCTCTATATACTACTATACTTATTATACATTCTTTAGCTACTTAATGTTAGCTACTTTATACTACTAAAGCTTTTATATAGACGTTAGATTAAAACCTTTATATAGAATAAACATTATATAATATACACAGCCATATACACAACCTATCTACTCATTCTCTATCGTTTTAGATATAACAATCGTAGGCGAACTCGGGCTGTTAGGTTAAAGAGGTTTTTAATCTCAAGAGTACTAGTCCATTCATGAAGGAAACGCTTGATGGACTTATCAAATGGAAATTTGACCACGAAGGCAGGGTTAGAGATGATGCCAAAGACTGACTTCGCGCGCAAAAGGAAGACAATGGTATTCCGTAAGCAGCAGCACAACCCTGGTGGGTTAATTTATTCCCCATTCCCTAGCCTTGTATACGTACGTGTTTTTTTTATGCCTATAGTTAGGAATGGTATAAATGGCGCGGGATACGTGAATGTCGTAAGCTGTAAAAGTGTCGTGGATGGATAGGCGAGGCCGCCGAAGCCGAGATGGAAACGACGCTCGGAAAGAGCTAGGCAAAAGTTAGGCCAATACTCGGAAAGGGCTCGAGCAGGAGTCAGGCCAATAACACACCTCACTTTCCAGTCCATACTTACAATATATGGCTCGGGTGCGCGGGTGGCATCCGGTACATGCATTCCTCTTCCGAAGCGGAAGTTAAAAAAATGACTCCGAGAAGAGCTTAGCCAACGACACACCACTTCTTTCCGGCCCTTTCGGCGACAAATCAAATCACCATGCGCAAATGAATGTTTCAGGCGGTACTTCATCGAGATGAGCGACAGCCCTACTATGGAATGGGTGAGGCTGGGCGGCCGGCATCGTAATCCTGCCTCCGCGGTGGAGATGCGCGCATCGAATCTGCGAGAATCACACGATGTGGTCTCCCCTTGCATCATCAAATTTGCTAGGGTTACGAGTTGTGGTCTGTTCTTGTACGAGCCTGGCGCCATCGCCCTTCCCCTGGCCCGTCTCTCCAAGTCGTGTAGGGCTGGGCGGAAGAAAACTCTTCTCCACACCCCTGTATGAAATTCGCGGCATTCTTGAATCTCTGCCAGTCTCTCCATATTGTGTAGGAGGAAGATTGTGGCGTAGGGAGTGGCGTTCCCGTCGGTGAAGGAAGCCCATCCATTCGACAGAATGTCACTTCCACACCGTCGATCTTGATGTGTTATGACACAACCTCTCGTTAGAGCAGACTGGTCATTTTTTCATTTCGCGTTGTGGCTGCGTGTACCGTTGTCACAGGGGAGAAACGGGCAGCACGTGCGCCCCCCCCCTGATACACGATACTGACACACGCACAGAATAGGGGCTCCTCTTTTCTGACGCCTGACTGCGTGGGCAGCGCGTCGGCTTTTGCAAAGGTCATGACTTGTTGCCTGCATATGCAGTTGGATAATTTTACCAGGGCCACGGTGCAGGGAATAAGGAAGCGCTCGGTGAGTCGAAGGCAGGTCTGTTGCTCAGCCCTGGATCTACGCCGCTCCTGAGATTACTTGCAGTAAGCTATGTGTCAGGCGTCGGAGAGTTTAAGGGTCGAGATCAAGGTCCCTGCGTCCTATTTGTGGGCAGCGCGGCCAAAAGGATTTGACGGCGCGGCTACAGCTCACACTCCGGTCTGTGTGCTGTCGTTGTTGGATTTTTTTTCTCTCTAGGAGGACTGTAATCTCTCCACGCCACCTACGTTGGCGTAGCCACCTAGGATAACCCCCGCCCCCTTTTTTTGAAATTACTTGCTTTGCATGTGTCGTGGGCGAAGAATCGTGGTCGTGTGTTATGTAGCGCATAAGCAACCGCCACAACACGCGGCTGATAATCGCTCCCGCGAGTTAAAGTGAAGGGCGCTGCGCCTACCCAGCGATCCGGTATTTCTCCTGCTTGGAAGCGTGGGGGTGCGTGAGATGTTCGTGGGATGTTCGAGCCAATCTCGCCAACCACAATACAAATTAATTTCACATACTGTACTTAGAGCGTTGTCACTTACGAGGCTCCACACACGCCGAAATCCAAGGGGCTACCACGGAACCCGCTCTTAGTGCGATCTGATCTATCGTACAGTATTTCCCCAGACATCGTTGCACCAAGGCGCTAGTCCCAATCCATTTCTTTATCACTTCCAAGCGACATCAGCTCAATCACCCTCGACCACTTTTTGTCACACTGGCGGCCAACCTCCGGCCACCACCACCACGGAGATGAGGATACGGTTTCTGGATCTCTTACCGCGAGTACTGTGGGGCTATTAGTGCGGTATTCACCAATAATAGTGGCACAAAGACGCACAAAGCCAGTTTTAGGGTGACCAAAAAGGTTCGCGAAAAGCCACTGGGCCCCAATACGCACGGCCGCCCCTCTCTAGGCTGCCGTTGGCTCGGAACCGGGGTACTGCCAGTGAAGCCATTGAGGGCACTGCCAGCGTTGCGGCCGGTATTCTGCAGCGTTCCCGGTGGCGTTGTGGTACTTCTCAGGCGCCATCGTCGCATCTAGTCCCACGACAGATACCGGATCATTGGAATTGCGAGACATACATCTAGAGGTTTGATGAGCCCTATAGTTCTCTGCGAGAATGGCTTCCATGGGAAAATGTGTGGGGAGCGATGGTCACAGGGCTGTCTCGTGCCATTTCGGTGTTACGATCACATCATTTACTAGTATCCACGATACATCACACTCTTTGCTGTACTACTATGTTCCATCACAGTAGCAATTTAATTTCTAGGCTATCTAATCTCTATCTATCCAAGCTACACAAACTTCCCCACTGAAAATATTAGAGATGCTGCTGGCGTTGTGTTTGCCCTATCTATATTCATACTGGACTTGGCTCGACGGTCTCTTACCTCACACATACTCTTGAGAATAGAAGGGGTATAAAGGCGAATTCGCGCTGCTAAGCAGCGTTATGTAGAATTGAATTTATATCAGCACTGTTGTGCTGCTGTTCCACGATAGTTTGGCGCCGTCAACAAGTTGATTGTTAAGTGTGTTGTTGTCTGCGTATCTAGTGTGCTTTTTGTCAGTCAGCAGCGGTTTTGAAGTGACTATGCCGTCTACTGACCTTCTCTGTGTCGTTGGGGACGTCATTTCTTATCCTTAGGCAGTTTCCTTGCCCTGGCTGACGGGCTGAAGGTTCAGCGGTTGGTTCGGCGAAGAAAGCCAGCCTTCTACCTTGGCTTCCCCCATTTCCAACTTCTCAGCCCTCGTCGTCGTCCTGTTAACGGCTATGATGCCAATGGGCGTCTGGCCCTGAGGTGGTCCAACACTAACCAGGTAAACGTTAGCTATCGTGAACTTGATGCCGTTGGGATAGGGCGCTTCGGAAGGATGGGATAAATGAGCAGGATTGTAAGTTACCTAATGTATTGGCTCTCCCTGCCGCATACAGCACCCGTTGTCGAAGTGGAAGACATTTTAGCTTGCGGAAAGCGAAACTTGATAGGGTGGGAGTGTATAGAAACGTTGAAGTCTTCTGCTGGATAGAGTTTAAGTTGATAGGGTCCATCATTAAAGGGAGGGGGAAATGGGGGGCTTTATACTGTTCCATGTTCGTCTGCTTGACGACCCCTCTCTGCTTCGCGTCGACTTGTCGAAGTATCATACATACAGGAGACGCATCGCTCGTGCCGCCACCATCGCAGCCATCAAGCCAATAAAATCAAGGTATATTAGCGGTATAGTGTGTTGGCTGACTTTTTGATTGTTGTTTTTGGAGAACGAGAAGTCCTAATGTGATCATCGGATGAACGAGTGAAGCGAACGTATCGACCGGACTCCGCCTTCGCGACCCAGACGCCACGGCAGCATCGGGAATTGTGGAGCTACACGAAGTCGGTATATCTCAGATGAGTAACTCGAGGAGGTGACAACAGCTATACCGCCTTTTCGAATCCTAACGCCGGTGGTATTTCCCTCTCGCGGGATCGTACGTTTTCTGCCGCGTTTCGTGAATATTGACATTGCTGAGCGAAGTAATAGGAGTCCTTATGTGCTCTGCGTCGTCCGGCACTTGCATCTGGATATGGCTGCATGTAATGATGCGAGCTGATTCCTTGGCCTGTGGCGGTTGCATCAGGGTTCGTTATTACCCCTCATATCCTCACATTCAATGTCCAGTCGGAAAATTGGCGGCAAGTCCACTTGCGCGGGCCCATGGGTGAGAAGACAAGGCGGACGATGTCTCACTCGATCAACATGGGAGAGAGGAAGCGCGACATGATTGGCAGCGTATGCCAATCCATGTCGCGCTCTTTCGTGTTTTGCCCCCAACGATGGCGTCGCGGGTTGAACATGCAGAAGTTTAGGAGGCCTGGAGCTCCTGAAGGAAAGGGAGGAGGGGAGACTAACAACTACCCTGGTCCGGGGAGCACGCACCAGAGTCCGGGATGATATGATTTGTTATTAATACTATTGATCCAGGGGATACGTCAGGGCCACGAGCCTTACCCGTTGCGCAGCTATCAAAGGGCGTGAGATTGAAGATCCCGATCGCGTCAGGGCGAATCCCCCACTTGTCCGTCTTCATTTCCGCTCAATATTCCACTATACATGACAACAAATGCATAGAGATTGACAGTGCAGCAGCAGTCACGTAGTTCAGTTTGCCTGCGGCGTATACTTGTGTATCCAATTTCCGAGGCGAGTCGGTTGGCAGCGCCAGAGGGTGGGAACGGCGCGGCTGGGGTTCTGTATATTGCATATTTTACGAGAAGCCGCATGGAATTATGCAGTATAAAATACGGAATATTACGAAAAGATGCGCGACGGGGTTAATTAGCCCTATAGCCACAGGCCTTGATATATTTCTGTGCCTTTCGCTGACTTTCTGGGCACGGACGCCAGAGGACCACCGGTGAAGAGAGTGTTCCAAACGCTGGCACCTCTCTCCAGATACCTAGAGCCATTGTTTCTAGGAGGTAATAATAATTTGCGATGCTTATTTACAATGCATATTCCTTTGAAAAAAAAATGGAAGGGAATTTGACCGTGGCTAAGTGGACCACCGACCGCGCCACCCACACGACCGGTCAAGGGCCGCAGAGCTCGAGGCCACCGCGACCAGAAAACAGCCATTAAAGTCCTCAGTTTGTTCTTGGCCCATATAATGGTGAGTCCAGGGAAGTTCACGCAGAAGATGTCACGCCGCCCTATACACTAGTAACCCGCCTCGTCATTGACTCATGATGCTGTTAGGTCACATTGTGACGGCTCGTCGCGTCGTTGCAGTAGCCTCGCGCTCCTCAGCTTGCCTGTATTAAAGCAAGCTCTTACCCTCGAAGCTGGGAAAGCATTCTATCTATACTCCGCCAATGCCCACTTTGAAAATCGGAGATGGCTATCTTTTCTGACCGAACCGATGTCCCTCCGATGACCAGGCGAGCAGTTGGTGCTAGGGCCTGCGCTTCTTCTCAATGCGACGCTCCAACCCGCTCCTCTTACAGCCATAACCCGCTCCTATTACAAGCCATACTATCTTCCACTGTAAGGACATTGCGAGAATAAACCGAGTCTGGAGCGAGAAGGGGAGAAAAGAGGCTAATCAGCAATACAGTTCCAATGGATAAGTGATAACCATCCACTAATATCACCGAACCGATCTTCTCCCCAGCCGCCAGCCCCCCTGTATATAATTGGTCTGCTAACGAACCTCTAGCCAGCATGCGATATGTTGCCAGCAGAGGAGATGGAAAGAGCAATTATATAGTGCAGGACGCATTTCCCGCGCTTTGCCTATTCGGGGTGGACCTCGAGGACCACCCCAAAGAGGCAGGGCAGTGGTATTAAATACCCTAGGGTTATAATATATAGTCTCTACTTGAAAGAGCCGTACAACGTCCATATAACCTGTAATGTTAGCCCCTCTAAACCGCGCAGGAAGGTGTTGTTGAGTTTAAGGGTCGAGACCAAGGTCCCCTGCGTCCATTTTGTGGGTTGCTTGGCCAATGACTGAACAGCACGGCTGTAGCACACTCCGGTGGGCTATTGTGCGTAATTACCTTCTCTATAATTGGAATAAAATCTCTGCACGCCACCTACGTAGACGTAAGAACCTAGGATGATATCTCCTCCTTTTTGAACTTGCTCGCGATGCAGTTGTGCCGAGGAGCTCGAGTGGGAGACGGTACACAACTGCCATAGTTGCGGTTATTAACCGCCCCCACAGGGCGGTGAAGCGCTTTTCTGGCGCCAACCCTATCAAACGGGGATCTCTGCGAGTGGACAGGGGTTCGTAGTATGATCGGGCCACCCCCGCCCCCGACACACATGAGAGTTGTACTTGAAGCTAGTCCGCATAAGTTAGCATTTTTTTGTGAAGAAGGTGCTAAGTAATGCATACTGCAGAGCTGACAGCCTTTGTTGCCATGCCTGCCGCATTCCTCGGAAATGAGGATACTGCTTTTGGAGTTCTCAGTGAGGGCTCGAAGAACATTGTCTAATTTCCGATGTGGGGTAGCCAGAGCGGTAACGGCCAGTAATGGCGCCGCAACATGCCCATTGCTTGTTTCGGTTGCCTTTCGATCGCCGCGCTGTGGTCGCTGCGTATGCCCCTCGTGTCCCGGGAAGGCACGGCCGGCACGGCCTGTTCTAGGCTGCCCTCGGCCAAGGGTCGGCCCGCCAGGAGCGATGTGACTGAGGATACTAGCAGAGTTGGGACAGATGTCCTGCATGGCGCTCGGTGCAGTGGTGTGATACCCCTGAGACGCCATCTTTGTGTCTCGTCCCACAACACATACCGGGTCGTTGGGAGTGAGAGATATGTCTCTGGAAAGTCTCTTAGGTGGCATAATCACGCCTCTGGTTTGTCTCACTTAGCAGCTGTACACCGCATTATCCACGGGTTTGGCATCACATTGTCTCTTGTATGTCACATTATCTCTAATCACAGTACTTCTATCTAAGGCTCCTTATTTAGAAATATTAGAGATGTTGTTAGCGTTAGGCTCGCTATCCATACTCGTATTGGCCTTGGCTTGACACTCTCTCACTGCACGTACATTCTCGAAAAAGGAAGGAATGTAAGACAAACTGACGCTGCTCAGCAGCGTCAGTTAGAATTGAAATATATTTCGGCGATGTTAAGCTGCCGTTCCACGATAGTTCGACCTCAAGAACAAGTTGATTGCTTAATGCGTCATTCTCTGCGTATCCCTTATGCGTTTTGTCAGTGTTGATTTTCAAAGTAGTGATCATGCTGCATTCTCACCTCCTCTACGTCATCCACCTGTTTGATATGAAGAAGCTAATGGCCATGATGATGCCCATACTCGGCACCATGAAAGGTGGTGGACTCGCCATTTACTACTGCTGTACTGCTTCCGTTTCATCTGCTTCATCGAGGGGAAGACAATGTGTGGCGAACGGGCTATCCGTTGCGAAGAACCGCTCTTGCAGGATGATTTGACGCGTCCTGTGCACTTCCTCTTGGCTGTGGTTGAGTATTGCCAAAGTGTTGGCGAAGTCGATTGTCTTTTGGACCTCTTCTGCGCTGGGGCCAGTAACCAAGCAGACGTTAGTTGCTGAGGAGGCAATATATCAGAAGTCTACTGAGTGTAGACCAATGTGGCACAACGCAGGAATAGATCAGAGGAATTAATAGAGCAAGGCATTACCTGAGATAGCGGGGACTTCCCCCTTTTACAGCACCGGTTGGCGAAGGCATTTGGGATTGAAATAAACGCAAGATCTATTGAGCGAAAGTCTCTTGAAACTTTGGTCTTCTTTTGAAAAGTGTTTGAGTTGACTGAGTGCATGATTAAACGATGGGGAGAGGGAAAGACTTTATATCCTATCTACTGTCAGCTCGAAGACATCTCTCTTCTTCCTCTCACCCTCGCCAGTTCTCTCTCACAAAATACATCCTATTGTATTGCCTACTGCTGCTACAATCAGACCAATCACACAAACATAGCGGGGCCTATAGTGTAGTGGTTGACAGCTCCAATGCAATTCAGAACGGCCCTGCCGCGGCCAGTGAGTTTACGATCGTCCGGTTGGGTACGCGGCAGGGTCGACGACGCGGTGGCTTGACACGACACCGCCTCTAAACGGGCATCTCCCGATAGCCGTGTCAAGGTTCTTCGTGCTAATTATGAATTTGTTAACCGTGCTATAGCCTTAGTAGTCTACAGGGCCCGACAGAGTTCGCATACACTACATGAGTAATTCGAGGGGATTGCCATGACTGTGCTGCTCATTTGGATTGGACTGCAGACGTAGTCCGTTCTCGCGGGACCATGCTTTTTCCCACTATATCGCGTGAATATCGACATACGACAAGTACTATGGAACCGAACTTAGCCGGCCTTGATGTATGGCTTACCCAACCCTGTCCGGCAACACGAGGCTGTAAACATTTGCACAAAATCGGTTTCTTGGTGTATAAACATCGTGCTGCAGATCTACCACCATAAACTTTCACTTCCGGTTAGACTCCCCGAACCTCCCAGCGCACTGTCTGCATAGGTAGGCGTGACACAAATGAGACAGATTTCGGGCGGGGCAGCGCGAAATTACTGGTAAGCACGGATCGGCAGCTACAAACCAATGCAGGGATTACAGCTGTCCTGTTCCCAGTTGCCACGTTGTGCTTGGAAGGAAGGCTGGTAGTGTCGATTTTATCAGTACGTACATGGGAAGTTTGTTGAAAGATCACCCCTAGGGAGATACTCAAAATGAGAAACTGAAACAATCCCTGAATATTCAGGAATATTCAGGAATATGTACTAACCCCTCGAATGAACCCTTGATAGTTTCTGAATCCAAGTAATAGAGGCAAACCGTGCTACGCTTTTCGGAAAATAGTCCTATGAGCACATTAACCGGTAAGTGCCATTCGCTGCTACTCCAGCAACTCGTCGAAGATGGATGCGATGATACGAAACGAGACGCAACCACAACCACAACTGCGCTACCAACACGCACACGGCGCGGCGAAAGCAACTTGCGAACCACGCCAGGAACCCTCACCGGCTTATAAACGCTCATGCGGCGCTTGCGAGCAAAAATCACTTAGCAATGTTTTTGATGATTTCACTAATGCACGCTTGGCGACCAACTTGGCGGGCTTACATGGCAAAAGTGCCTGCATGGTACAAGTGTAGGAGTAGGAAAAATGTAGGAGTGGGAAAAGTGTAGGAGTGGGAAAAGTGTAGGAGTGGGAAAAGTGTCAGACTGGGAAAAGTGTCAGACTGGGAAAAGTGCAAGGGTGGCATTAGTCACTATTAGTGACTATCATATAAAGGAGCATTCCTATTGGTGAGCATTTCCCCCCCCCTTTCTTTCCTCTTCGAGGCGAGACCGACATTGTTCTCACATGGAGCTGGCTGTAGCCTAGCGATATTCAACGACAACCCAACAGCGCATGAAAAAGTAGAAAGTTATATGTCTGTATTCATCGATATACATTCAGCTCTCTCTGTTTGTATGCCTCAGCAGTTGGGATGACTTTCCCTCCAATCCCCTGCGCCTGTCCCCCGTCAGAACCGTATTCCACACCGCTCAGCCCCACCCCTCCCCACCCCCTTTCTTCGCTCTCCTGCGATTTTGATTTTGCAGTCGCCCTCCTGCGCTTTTGGAGTCGCCCTCCTACGCTTTTGCAGTTGCCCTCCTACGCTTTTGGAGTCGCCCTCCTGCGCTTTTGTAGTCACTCCCTTACGCAGTCACTTCCCTTTGCAGTCCCTTCCCTTTGCAGTCACTTTCCTCTGTGCTTCCTTCGCTATGCACTTTCCTCCAACGAACATTCAAAAGTACCACAGCAGCCTTAATAAGTATAGAAGTTCCCTGTTAATTTTCTACCCATCTAGTCTGGTCCTATATACATCTCTCCCTCCCTCCAACCCACCACCCTAAAACCCCCTCCCACTCCTCTTAACAACCGGCTTCCTCACCGCCCCCTCTGCGCAACCTTCTTCACTACCGCGCCCTCCGCCTTCACTCCCCCCCCCCCCCCCCCACCCTCCCCCCCCCCCCCCCCCTCCCCCCCCCCCCCCCCCCCCCCCCCCCCCTCCCCTCCACCCCCC